GGTTTCAACATTAGGATCTGGAGTTGTGACATGGAGAAGGGTCGAATGTTCGATACTTCATCACCCTTTATATACTAAGATATACATCAATGGGGCATTGTATCATATAAAGGGTGATGAGGTATCAAACATTCAATCATTCTCCAGGTCACTGAACCAGTTCATAATGTTGAAACCTGACACACATAATCATCATCAAATACGAATAATACCTTGAAGAGCTTTTCGATTGTATCATACCCGGGATAAGATGTCATCCGATTCCTCTTTGTTGTCCACTACTGGTAAAGATATGTACTCTCTAGTGCTAGGGTTATGGATAATTGGCTTCGTTAATTTGTTACATATCAAACCAAGTAAAGAGGGACACATATTTTCCCTAGAACCCAAACCTTTAGGAAAATGCATATGGTAATAGGGAGATATAAGAGAAGAGTAGTTGCGGTTTGGATATAGTTCTTGAGATATGGAGTAAAAGATCCGCTTATTGTTGTATAGGATGGTGAATAAAATATGCGGCCGAACCGATTATACTTTTAGAAACAGTTGGGTGAATTCTCAAAAATGCAGTATGGAAGACCAAAACTTTGATACGCAACGAGACCTTGCAACGTGTTACAATGACAATCTTGAGAATATCTTAAGTAAGAGATCAAATGGGAGGATGATCTCCATTAAGTTTTCTCTTGGGGATAAACCCTAGAATCCCAAACATGGCTTGTATTTTTGATCTAGGAGATGTGGACGGAGTGAGAGTTTTAACATTTTCTATTTATAAGGATCATACATGTCTAATTGATGGAAAGATATAGGTCTTGATCATATTCAAAAATACCTCTTTTCCAATACCACTTTTTAAAAATACCCCTTCTTTCGAATTTTATCAAAAATTCACTAAAAATCTGAAATTTATCAAAAAATATGTGTGAACTTATATATATATATATAGACACAAATTATCTTTATGTGTGTGTAGATTTATATAAATATTTCATAAATGCCGTATAAATATCTTTTAAAAACTTTATAAAAACCTTATAAAAATCTTGTAAACCTTATAAAAACTTTATAAAAGCCTTTTAGAACCTTTTAAAACCTTATAAATATTTGAATCGAGTCTCCTAGTAGTAATGATGATCTTAATGTCTCTTATAAATCATATAAAATTTTATAATTTTTCATATTTGAAAAAGAGTATTTTTGAAAATAGATAGAAAATAAGATTATTTTTGAAAAAGAATATACCAAAAAGAACATTTCTCAAAAATTCTAATTTTAAAAATATTAATATCTTTTAGACCCTACATACTATTTTTATCCCCATATCATTACAATAATCTAGTTTTTGTTATACTTGTCAATTTGAAATTGACCATTTTATGAGGTTTTGAAAACCAACTTCCTTATCAATTATGTTTTGGTTGGTTAGTTGGATGTATCAAATTGGGATACAAGTTAATAGAATTAAATGGGCACATGACATTTAAAAAAAAATAGCTGGAGAAAGGTGTGGTGACAGCGTGAAATAGAGAAAGCACATTTACATGAATTTAATTGGCACACACTCTCAATTTATTTCTCTTTGACCTTTCTATTATGTCATTGCCTAGCCTAATATATATATATATATATATATTTTTTTTTTAACAACAAACGAAAAAATTGACTTTAAGAAAGCCAATGAAGGGGACAATTGTTTACAAACTTAGCAGCATTGCCTAGCCTAATTTTTATGAAGTTATATGTCTTAATCACAAGTGACAAAACTTACATTTGTGTTTTAAAATTGACAAAAAAAAAAAATTATCGATAAAAAGTCAACAATTTTTTGTTTATATTTACTTGTTTATTTTTGGTTTATTTTCAATGTACTTAAAATTTTGATAATAAGTTAATGATTATGAATTGAAGAAACTATTTTAAAATTAACTATTAGACCTCATCTGAGAATAATCCAAAACTCAAAGTTGTTGACCAAACAAATTTAGCCAAAATAAAAACATTGCATTTTCTTTATTTCATACTATACTATGTTATTGTGGATATATTTTAAGATAAGATAAAAATGAATATTGACCCTTAATTATCAGAAACTAATTCAAACTTGATCTTTCTTTTCTTTTTTTGACCAAACAAATCAAGAAAAAAACATTGCATTTTCTTCACATACTTTATAAAAAAAAGTCTATCGTTTACAGCATAGTATGAATTTATTTATTTTCATTATACTATCTAAAAATAATAAGTATATGAAATCATAAACAAACAATTTAAAATGCACTATGTTGATTTGTTGACCATTTCTATTTTTTTTTATTTTTTTTAGTCACATTCCTTTGCAGTATATTGCTATATAAATTTTTTTTTTTTTTATAATTTCGTTTTTGCTTCAGAATATATATATATATTATATTTCAAAAAAATCAAAGTTTGACAAAATTTGATTATTCTTTTCCGATAGAGTTCTATTTGACTTTGTATTGACTAGTTTTCATGATTTTATGAAATGTTCTATATATAATCATTCTTCAACATTTTATAGGTAAAACATTCAAATTTTCTAAAATAATATTGTAGACAAGAAAACTTTGTGTCATTATCAAAAAAGAAGAAAAAAAAATTGTTAATTGTGTCATTAACTCATGTTACAAGTTATAACCCAAATTAAACGAGCGTTGCATGTCTACTTACTATTTTAGTGAGACTATCTTACACAAGTCAATCTTTTATGCATGAGTAATAAGTTTTTTTTGTATTAATCATTTTATCATTTGGTTTGTGTCAACACACCATTTTGGGGAGAGTTAGTGTGGTAAGTAATCTAATAATATATGTTTTAATTAATAATGAACTGAATTCTAATTGCTTAAGCAAATTATATTCCTACCAAAAGAAGCAATTACGTTGAGAAGATATATTTTGGAAGCTGGAAGAAACCATTCTCGACTTCTCCTACTCGCAAACTATTTTCTTCATTGGTTTTACAAATACTACTTGTTCAAGTCATTTCTTAATCAAACAACATATAGTTTAGTATATATATTTAGATCGCAAAATATATTTGATATTCTTCTGCGCCTTAGGTTAATAAAAATATTATTAAATACAATAAATTCAACCAATAAAAAATTACGATGTATAATATGATTGGTCAAAAATCATTAAATATATTTAATATTTACATAAAAATTTGAAAATATTACTTATAATAAAACAATTTTATAAAGCTAAAATATTAGCTAAACTGAAAGGGAAAGAGTATATTGAACGATTTGTATAAGGATTTATATATGGTTTAGACATTTTTAACATTTCTAATCTTTTGGCTTTATGCAAAGTAAACTAATTAATGTCGTTAATGGGTCAATTAGGAAAACTAAGAATATTAGTGGATAAGTACTAGCTAGTACCTAAACCTCAATAATTTATAGTCCCTAGTTGAAAACACTTTTTTTTTTTTTGAAATTCTAGCCGACTCGTGTGTTGTTACTGTTGAAGGTTGATGAGAGAAGAACATACTAGTGATTAGGAAATATTATATTGACTCTCATGAAGATTACAATAATAGTTACATATGTTTATATAGGGAGGAGATGCTAAACCTAAATGATATAGTTTCCTAATATACATAAATACATAAATGAGATAATTATGAGAAATATATTCAAAGATATTCTAACTTATTCTACACACTTCTATAGTTACTTGTTAGTTCATCAATTCTCAAAAATATGGAGTAGTATACTTTTAGAATTTGTTTGGTTTGCCAAAAAAAATAAAAAAATTGTTTCGTAAAATACCACCATGTTCCAAAACTAGCACTTACAATTTGGTTTCAAAACTAAAATTAAAATTTTAACTTTCAAATCTAAAGCCTAAATCTTAAAAATTAAACATCTACTTCCTAAAAATTATATTTATAATCTAGAATAGTAGTATATCCTAAATCTTCAACTTAAACTCAAAATTTTAAATTATAAATCTTGAAAATAAATTTTTATGTTTTTGGTATTTTTGGGAAACAAATTTTTATGATATTATTTTTGAGACATTAAACAAATAGCAATATTTTAGGTAACAAAATTTTAAAATATAATATTTTAAAGACTTTTGACCAAAAAAAAAATAAAAATTTAAAGACTTTCTCTTTTGTACTTCTCCACATCCAAAAATGTTGGTGGTAATGCATCCATCTAAACTCCAAATCTTGATTTATTCTTGTTGCGTTTAAAATTGGATGAGATTTGTTTCTCAACAAAGTAGTTTATTCTTTTAGCCATCATGACTTGGTTTTTGTGGCCATCAGAGTAAAGCACATTTAATTTTTAGCTTACTCTCCAACTACTTCAACCTTTATTAGTTACAGTTGGGGTATGTATATTCATTTGTTTATGATTCTTATGTTATATTGTCCCTTCAAATTAATCAAGTGAGACAACTTGACATTGTTATTTCAACGACTAAACCGAACAAAGCAAAGCCAACTTGATCTCATTTTATTATCTAAAAACAGGCTGTTTAGGCGTATCTAGACCTTCGAAAACCATTTGTACGATTCGATTTTTTTTAACAAATTTGTCGATCGGAAATTATCGATTTTTCTTGTTTATTCATTCAATTAAATGGTAAAATGTGTATTTTAATATAATGAATTTTTTTTCTTTTATAGATAATTTCCGAAATTATATGTTTAATATGAAAATAATTTTACATTAACTGGATAAAAAGTATAGGATAACATTTGTTGAATTTTAAGATTTAAGCAATTTGACACATAAAATTTGGACCGAGGATCCAAATTGGGCCTTATATATTGTTGATTGAATTAGGCCCGTTTCAATAGTCTTAGTAAAGCTCCACGTGGCGTTTCTAAACTTGTCAGTCACTTTGGTAATATAACAGACAGTAACTAGTAACCCACTAATCTCTTTCGCTAAAGGACACAAAAAAAAAAAAAAAAACAGATTTTTATTTTATTTTTCTTTGTATGGCTCCAAAACTCTGAGAGACAGAGCAAGAAACAGAGTGAAGAAGATAAAGCAAAGAAAACAAAAAATGGCAACGGTCACGATTCTTTCTCCTAAATCAATCCCAAAGATCATGGATTCAAAGCTCGGAGTTAAGGTTCCTGACCAGACCACCGTCGTAAAATGCTGTCGGAGATTGAGGTTAGCTAAGCTTGTCTCAGCTGCAGGATTGTCACAGATTGAACCAGACATAAACGAAGACCCGATTGGTCAGTTCGAGCTTAACAGCGTTGAAATGGTAAGTATGGATTGACTCTGAAATCAAGAATTGGTATAAAAAAAACTTGTTTCTGATTGGTCAGTGGTGTTACAGGAGGATTTCAAGTATGGATATTACGATGGTGCTCATACTTACTATGAAGGAGAAGTTGAAAAGGGTAAAACTTTAGTTTCCAGTTTCTTCTTCTCGTCGTTTCGGTTTCTACGATGTTTTATTTTTGATTGAATCTTCTTGGAAATGTTATGTTAGGAACATTTTGGGGAGCAATAGCAGATGACATTGCTGCTGTTGATCAAACGAACGGGTTTCAAGGTATTCATTATAAACCCGCTTTTTCGTACTTATTACGAATCGAAGTTTGATCGAAAATAGCGGTTTTTAAGTTTGTTTGTTATATCTGCAGGTTTAATCTCTTTGTTGTTTCTTCCTGCTATAGCTGCAGGAATGTATTTTGATGCTCCGGTAACTTCAAATCCTTTTGCTTCTAATAATTACCATTACGTCAATCAGATATACTAAGAAACTCGAGTTTTTTCGAACATTATGAAGTTTCAGCTTCTCATGTCCTAACTATACAATATAGTGTTTGGTTGGGAGTTAAGATAAAAAAAAGAATCACAAGTGTTTGTGTGTGTGTGTGTGTGTTGCAGGGTGAGTATTTGTTCATAGGTGCAGCATTGTTCACGGTAGTGTTCTGTATAATAGAGATGGATAAACCAGATCAGCCACACAACTTCGAGCCACAGATATACAAATTGGAGAGGGGAGCTCGTGACAAGCTCATTAGTGACTACAACTCAATGAGCATATGGGACTTTAATGACAAGTATGGTGATGTATGGGACTTCACCGTCGAGAAAGATGATATCGCTACTAGATAAAGAAAGATATGGATTCTAATCTCATTATATATAATATCATGACTTTTGATGTAAACTGTTTATACAATTCTATACAATGTGTATAATAATCTAGATTGTTCATTCTCTTGAAATTTTGTTTTAGTCCCCTGAAACCTTTGCTCTTCTGAGTCATTTCAAAGCCATTCTTGGCATTGCGGTAGTCACCAATATAATTCCAAGCTTGCTATTTACATCACAAACGGCATGTGTTGAACTACAGGCTCACTGATATGTTCCCTTGTAATCAAGAAGAACCTCAACGACATTGAGATTGACGTATTCCACACGCTAACTTCATCATCCCATGGTCCAAGACTCCAAGTACAACAACATAGTGTTTCCGGTTTTGTGGAAGAGTCCGAGGAGCTAAAACGCATCTCTATTTCCTTCTTCAATGTAGGCAACATGGTCCATGATTCTGGAATGGTTTGGTAGATTACGTGAGAGTAAAGTCATTGATACATGAAGAGTAAAGTGTGGACGTGATGTTGCTCCAGTTTGTGTCATTCGTTGGATATAAAACGTTTTGGAACGTGGGATATCGGATCTTGATTTACGCGTAAGTATGTACTTTGATCATCTGCCTTCAAAGGTCTTTATGAGCAAGTCACTGGTTAGGCTAAGGATAGAGTCTCAAAATATTTCTGGCATTGGTGTGGAAGATGTTTTCCTTCCAAAGCTTAAGACTCTCTATCTTGATACAGCTGTGTTAGTGTCAGGAAAAGCTCATGAGCTTATTTCTGGTTATCATGTCCTTGAGGAATTAGTTCTAGTTATGTCTACTCTCATACTTGGAATATTAGGGATAACAATATCCCACATTGGAAATTGAGTAGGATCTTAAGTGGTATATACAAGAACTGTCCAAATCTCGAAACCCTTGTCTTCCAAGTACCAAACATAGATACTATAATATTACTACATATATACTAAACAAATTTTGGATTTTGAAAAGTTGTTACCTCTATGATTCTTCAGGGATTCAATCATAGAAATACAAGCAAGTGTGCAGAAGTTGACGGTTGCCTATGCAAATCTTCAGTGGGAAGTCCCACTTTCTTATCATCAAGTCCTGTGAAGGTTCTAAAGATATTGAAGTTTGGTGAAATTTTTGATGACAAGGAGATGCAGATGAAGCTGGTCGAACACTTTCTTGAGACAATGCCGAAACTTGAACAAATGACATTGTACTTATGATACACCACTTGATGAAAATGTGATTGAAGTTTCCAAGAAACTTCAGAAGCTTCCTAGAGTAGCCAATTGCAAGATCCAAGTAATCTCTAATAACCTCAGCTTATCCTCTTCTTGATGTCACAAGTAGACTCATCTTCTTCGAAAGTATTTTTTTTTTGGTTTGAAGATTATAATTATACTCCTTCATCTCAGAGAAGATATCATTATATATATTGAGATTGTTTTGGACCTTTTGGTTCTAGTTTTTAATTGTGTTCCACCTTTTTCATTCGTATTATGTAATATGTACACTTCATGTGCTCTATAGGTTTCGTTTCAATTCATTTATTTATTTTGGAGTTGAACTTTTTTAATTGCAAATCAATTCTTTAAATTTACTATATTCATATTTTATACACAAATAAAGTTCGTTATTGTGTTATTTCATACTTTAACTTTCATACATTAACTTATAAATTATAATATTAATATGTAGTTAACTTACATTATTTTAAGATACAACAATAACATATATTCCATAAAAATCACCATGAAAGATGAATATGGAAAATGTTCATCAATGATCAACACTGGATGATGCATAAACAAACATCTATGTCATATAATATATATATATATATATATATATATATATAATTATGAATGTTGTCTAATGTAAAATTTATTATTTCTATTGTAAATTTTAAACAAAAAGGTATATTTTGTGGTTTTTCGCTAAAAATAAAATCGAATGTGCTTGATCAAATGGAGTCATTCCCAAAAATGGAGACATGGGTTGAAGGAAAAATCATATTCAAATTAAAATAGAGTAAAAAATGGAGATATAGATTAATTGGAGATGCTCTTAAAAACTTGAAGTTCACAAATCTCGAATAATTTCTCAAGTCTAGTGTTCTTGATCAAAACTTTTTATTTCCTTTGGTAAAATGTCTGATCTTTTTCTTTGGTGTAAGTGTTAAGATATTTTTTCTGATATTTTCTTTGTGGTTTCTGATATATATGTTTAAAACTACATTGTCTTATTATTTATCCCATTGAAAAGGATACGTCGAGAGAGAGCCAATTATATTCGAGTTTTCATATTTGCGGATGAGATTTTAACGATGGAAACAAAACTAAAAATACAGTATATATATATATACATTAATATATCTCCCAAAAATGTATATAAAAACGAGAAAAGTGCGTGGAAGAAGATACAAAAACAATAAAGAAGACAAAAAAGTAAGTAAAGATGGAGAGTGATGATGATATATGAATTATGAAATATATAGAAAGCGTGATAGAATTGGCAATAATGATAACCCAAACATCGTCGTACGTCTCATGAGAGGTTCCATTGAGATTCACATATCCACCACGTGCTTTTCTCCACTTCTTCCTCTTCGAGATCTCAATCTCACTCTCATAAGTCATATACCTAATTCTAATATAAAGTACAAAAGAGCATTTAAAAACATCTTCGGGTTAGTTAAGTGTTGTATTCTCTAAGGAGATGTACTAGTTTGTTTTTATATATTCAAGTTGTGAATAAGAAAGAAACTGAGTATGGATTGAACCAAATACTAAAATTATAATAAGAGTGTTTTACGTAATTAAAGACACACACAGACAATCTTTAGTTATTAAAATGGTGACCTAGCTAAGCTAGTGTCAGAAATGATAAACAATGACTAGTTAACTTACCAAAATGTATCTATGACCTTGAAACCATCGTATATACCATCGTCACGAGGGTAAACAAAGACAATAACAAATCGTTTTTATATATTTTGGTTTTGCGTAAGCTGGCTCGATGGTACTCGTTGTTTTAACCTTTATTAAAAAAAAAATGTGTATTATAAATTCGCCACCAGCGCTGCAGCGCATCGATCCTAATCTTTCACTTGTGTATTCAATCTGGTAACCAGCCCTTGGCGTTACTCGAACCCAAGACCTTACCTTTTAACAACCTTCTTATATAGACATGATTCTGATAAGGTGATACCAATTTGGTGTGATTTGGATAGGTTATGTTTGTCCACTCACCCTACTATTTTTAACTCAATGACATTTAATTATCATATAGTATATCAGTTAATCGTATATATAATCTTCAAAACTAAATAATATTCTATTAATTTTTAACCGTAGTTAAAAAAATGTTTAATTTATATATGATTTGTGATATATTTCGCCTTACATGAATTTCTTTGTTTGCGATGGTAAATAAGCCATGGAAAGAAAAACTTGTACATTGAAATAAAATCACAGTTACATAAGAAAGAAAATAAAAGAAATATTTTGCAAACGTTGCGTATTTGCACGTAAATAAAACAACTATATACCAATTTATTTGCAAAATAAAATTTATATTTATTTAGTTTTTATATGTATACAACAATCTTGGGGGTTTTCCGTTTTATAAAATATTATAGAGATTTTCTTGATTGAAAAACCTCGTCCATAATCGTATTACAATAAAACTCTACCATTATGCATGTTATCAAATCAGAATCATAATTTCAATTTTTTTGATTTGGATTAGTACTAATTTTGTGTTAAAATTGTCACCAAATTTTTAAAGTTTTGTTTTTTGTTTGTTCTTAACATTGGAGTAACTAATTTTGGTCCAAAACATTAACAAACAAAAAATAAAAACAAAACGAAAAAATAAAAAAGTAACCAACAAATTTTGACTTTTTATTAAAAATACACATTTTCCCTCGGAAAAAAATAAATAATAATCAGACTAGTATTGCATATATCATCATCATCTCAAAGGAGCTTAAAAAAAAAAAAAAGAAAAAAAAAAAGAGAAGAGCCCCAACAAAAACAAAAATGGTGGCTATTCAGTTATATAGCTGGAAGCCATTGATACTACCTTCACAAGCTTTGAGACGAGATCAATTCGCCTCTTTTAACAGGTACTTCTTCGATAATGTTTGCTTCCATGGTCTGGGTGATGATTTATATCCTTCAGATTATGCAGTTTTGTGTAATGGTCGAAGATTGTTTTAGTGTTTCTCATTTAGGTATAAATGTAGCGAGATCAATGGGTTCATTTTCTTGATTAATGGAGTTTTTGAATCTGGGTTTAAGGTTTAGGCTTCGAACCGGAATTTTTGGATTCAATTTTTTTTTTTGTTGGTAATTCAATCTAAAAGGTCATTGGAACTAATGTTTACGAGTTGTGTAATCTCTTTGTGCAGGAGATTGAGTTTACAGTCTCTGCCTTTAGGTGGGATTGAGTCTTTTAGATTCCGAGGTGAGGAGACTCTATAGTGTCTCTCATTGTTCATGTTCTTCCTCAATTTGACTCCTACTTGATTGGCTTAAGTGTTTTTGTTTTTGTTTTTGGTTTGTTTCCTATACTAAAACAGTGACCTTTAAAGTCAAATCTCAGAGGAGAGGAGACACAGAGCCGTATAGTGTCAACCTGAATGATTTCAGTTCCAAATTCCATAAGGTGAACCAAAACTATCTTCAGTTTCATGTCTTTACATGTGTACATTTGGTCCTGTACTGTGCAAAATCGGACAAATGGTTTGTTCTTTTGATGTTTAAGTTGTTCTAGACTGTAAGATGATTATTCTGGTATCTTATATGCACATGTTCTTGGTTTGGAAGATGAATCTCAGTTCATTGTGTCTACGGGTGTATTTTGATGTCTTTCAATGCGTTTGCTTCTTGTTTAATCTTGCAGAGTCTTCCATATAAACTTGTGATAGGATGCATACCGCTGTATGCGGTGTTCAGGATAGCGCAAAAGATATGTCTAGAGCTTCCCCGCCTAGTTCAGAACTCAGTGGGGGCTGGCTTGCCTTTTGCTTGTGCATCGAACTCTCTACCTACTCCTCTCAAGTTGGATGTCCCCGTTCCTTCTGTTCAAGATCTCAAATGGGGTCTTTCAAGGTTTCTTTACCTGT